ATATATATATATATATAAATTACGAACCAGTCTTTGAATCAGTCTGGACTGTTCTTACCCTCGCACTGGCCTTTACTGTTTTTCTTCCAGCCATAGCAACACTCCAGTCTCCTGCCATAGCGACACACACCCGCTTGGTTTCCAGTAAGGACTTGTCGGTAGTGCCTTTGTAGAACAAGAAAGGAGTAGAGGGTAAGATGTGTAGTTTCACTGCCTTAGCAACATTTATACCCCACCCTGGTTAAGTCATAATATACCATCAACAAATTTGGCCTTTAAGCAAAATTTTATCACAATAACAACAATGAAACACTAATGACAAGTTTAGGTTATTACAAATTCAAATATTTGATTAAAAAAATGATCCCAACTCATCCACTGTCTCACTAAGCAGTCCCAACTGAAGATATTCAGCCATTCTTTCCTTCTAATTTTTGTCCCAATGGTAGTTGTGTGAAGAAAACAAACAACCTAAATAAAGTGTCCCTCACAGGCTCGCTTAGTGATAAAAGCGGAGCTCCCTGTGGAGCAACAGCCAGCTGACAGGATGTAGGTTACAGATGCAGAAAAACACACTAATCAGACACTTCCTGCATTGCTCACTGATACCTTATGCCCAACCATATGTCCTTCTTTACTCTACCTTGATCTTGAACCTGCTATAAAGTTATTCTCAGTTGCAGTCTGCATTGCATTAAAAATAACTTGCAGTACATATAGATTATATTGCGTGTGTGTATTTTTAACCTGTAAATTAAATTAACAGGGTAGGATTCACATTGCCATTGACTTACTGAATAGGTAAATTCATGTCAGAATCACACGCAACCGAATCTTACAGCATCATTATCTCTACTTTTAGTGCCCAGTGCCAACCCTTATATCGCAGATGTTTTGGTGTCACAGAGGTGGCATCCTATAAGCAGCCTTGGCTCCATTGGGACTGGAGGAATCTGAGACTTGATCGAAATTAACCAGAATAGCCCACAAGAGAGGGGCTCCTAAGTGTGACAGGTGCTCTTCATTCAATAACAGTTGCTGTGCCACATTTAGCTGACCCACTGTCAAAGCTCTCATAGTCCTGTGCTAGCAGGGGCAGCAGTGGGTACATACCATCTAAAACAACAGTTTTCCCAGTAAAGATTTAAAGCACATAATTCAGTGCAAAATAGGGGGGTTCATGTTACTCATTAAGCTCCTCTTAAAATAAAACCGGAGGAACTAGCAGTTAAAATGCCAGTAATCCCTTTTTTTGGCCACAGGAAGTGGGCCAAATTGTATATCAGACAATGCTGCTGGAGACACCTTTGGTTTATTATTGGTGCCAGCGCATTTCAGAGTCACTGCAATGTAAAAAAAAAAACTTTATTATATATAGAAATCTATCTGACATTATCCTGGAAGGTCGTTTTAGTTCTTGAATGAGTAAATATCCAAGTAAAGCTTACACCTGCTGCAGGTCTCAGTACAAACACAGCGTGCAACATCAAACGCTCAAACGTTGCTATAGTTCATTGACTTACCTATGAGCGTCTGCACTCCCAGAGGAGATGTGGAGCAGGAGAAAAAGAGCACTGACAACGGTGAACGGCTGCATGTCTGTGACCGTGAGCAGCCGGAGAGCTTTGTTTCCCACGGGGCTGACTTTGGTTTCTGTGAGTTCCAACTATTCCTCCTGGGGGGCTTACTCTCTTTAAAAATGCTTAGACAGGAATGGGGTCTTAGTTACACAAGGCACGCCAGATTTCATGTATTTCCAGAGCTCAAAGTCAAAGTCTTCACCGGGGGAAGAAAGAAATCTCTCTCTCACTCTTCAGTGCTGCACCTACACTCTACGTATTATAATTTGCTTCCTCTTCTTCTTCTCTGAAATTCCAAAGGTGGGTTGACACTGAAATGACACTGCACAGTGAGGGATAGGTTGTGACTTTTGGTGGTAGGAGTGTGTTTGTAAGGGGGGTGGGGATTAAGTTTAGGGGGTTCTCCTCTCTTAACTGAAACCCTATACAAGACCACATGGAAGTCTTCCTGTGGATCACCAGAAGGAAAAATCATACTGCTGCACAGATGCATTGTATATTGATCTTATTTTGTGTATTTTCTTGGATATCATAAGTGTTACATGCATTTGTTGCAACCGTGGTCTGTCCGTGCTGTATTTTTTGTGGGGTGGGATGGGGGCAATTAGCTTTATCGGCTAATTGTGGAACTCAGACATGCATAGGCCTGTCATTAGCAGCTCCAGTACTCTTTGATGTCTTTCTCACAGGTAGCACATAAAGCTTTGCTCTCTCATACATGCTCACTCCAAGTTCAGCCATAAAAACATTTAATGAGTTTTCACGGCTCAGTCAGCTCCAACATCTGGTCCTGATCTTCCAGAGGTAATTTTTGGACTGAATTCATTTACATATGTGCATGTCTGTCCACTGCTGCATTGTCCAAAGAGGCTCGAACTGACTCTTTAAAAACTGTAATGGAAATAGCTTTCAGATGATGGTTTTTAACATTACCCTAAGTCTGTGCTTATTTTGTCAGACATTCAGTACTGATGTCAGACAGCAGAAATGTTTCAATGTTATATTTAATTTTGTTTGCGCATTTTGAGGTCAAACCAAATTCACTTCGGGCACTCCCATTGTTGCCCCCATTTATTGCAAAAATAATACACATTTGAGTTTCACAAACATTCGTTAACAGAGCGGGCCATACACTACAGCAATTAAGATGAATTTGAACTCAAATTGCTGAATCTGCATGCAGCAGTTCCTAAATGCTTATCCAGGAGGGCGCTTTGGAAGTGGAAGTTTGGTTGCTGGGAAGCAAGCAGTGGTTGCCACAAATATGCAGCGCTAAGTACTGGTGTTGGCAGAAAGTATGTAATATCTCTTTATAAGGGAGCAAATATTCCATCAAACCCCACGGACAGTGCCAATTAGCATGACATTTAGTTCACCATAGCTTAACAGCATAGTTTAGTTGTCATAACCGCAATCTAAGTAGTTTTACTTTCTTAGGCATAAACACACTACCTTTGGAGAGCTCAGTTGTCTATGTGGACCACCTAGTTGTTGGAGTTTGGTTGTAGTTATATACAGTATAATTGAAAGGTGTTTGGAACAAATTGGAAGGTGTTTTGAGCATCTCTTTTGTGTTTAACTACAAATGTGGTGGATAATGGTTGGATGAGTGTGTACTTTGAGAAATTAATATGAATATTACTTTAGTGCTTTGGGAAGAAAACCTTTAGGAAGCATTGTAGGGGAGAACATTCACTAGATTACATGTCAACAGCTTTTTAAAACTTTCATTGCATTTTTCGAAGAGAACACGAGCGATGTTCTTCTCTTATGAAATATATGGCAGTAACAGTACACTGAATTCTTCCTTGAGAAATATGGGGTTGACTTTGGTTTGCAGTAAAAATGATGGAACGTGATACATTGATAATCTGAGGAATGAAATAAGAGCTGTATTCTCACAAACAAAGGCTTGTTGTGTTGTTTTCTGTACAGTGTCAGGCTCTAGCCTGTATTATTGCAATAAACAAAAAGTCATTGTTTGAGTATAGTACAGTGCATGACATTATGTACAGCAACTGCTTTCTAACATCATATATAGTACTTTCTATTATCATTAACTTGTAACTTATAACTTTCATTTGACTCTTGAAATCTTTACCACCTCTGGAAATTCCTGTGGATATGAATAACGCACACACATACAAGCGCACATTTCCCTTGTGTGTCCCATTTCTAGTCTGCAACTTGACTCTATGTGACATCTCAAGCATGCAGGTCAGTTGTGTTTCCTTGGTGCTGCTATGTTGGGTGGTGGGTGAACCTGATGAAGCCATTATTCTCACAACAACAGCACCATCTTCTGTCCAGGAGAAAGCCCTGGAATTTAGACCCCTTGCTCCAACTGGTTTATTTCTGTGCAGTTTAATGGCTTTTGGGCCAGTTTAGTTAGCAAGGGTGAACTAAATATGTGTGTAAATACATGAAATATGCGAATCATTATACTTAAAAATACACAAGGATTGTTTCATTTGTGGTTGTTATGAAGCATACCATGCTGCTGGTTGTACAGTATGTATCTAAAAATAAAAATGTCTGCCCTGAAATGTAGCTTTTGTTACTGCTCAAATGAAAAAGAAATGTTTCGAGTATGTATAGTTTACCGTTTAGTATTAATGTAGTATAACTTTAGAGTCTTCTTTGCGTGTGTAATTAAATTCTCCCCCTGAAGAACCACAGAGAAGAGTGTCTTTATTTTTATTTAATTCTGCTTTTTGCCAGGAGGGGGAGATATAGTTCAGCCAAGAGGTGGACAAAAAGTCATGTGTTGCTAAATACTATGACTATGTAATCTGCATGCAATTGAATTTCATCTTCATAATGGCAATGCCAGCTGTATCACCTGGATTGCAGATGTGTTTTAACAAAGCAGGTCTGGCTCATGATGATTTTGGTTTAATATGTTCTGCATGAGTCGGAACAGGAATCTCAGCTCTTTGTGAGTGGAATTTTACCAGTGGTTGTGATCTATAGTGTGCTGTGTCTCTTTTCTCTCACCAGAGGTCCCTGTCTGTCTGCACGTATTTTGTGTTGACTGACGTAAGCAGCACCATGTCCTGAATGTGAGTACAGGTTGAGGCACATTATAAAGAGAAGTGGATATTGATCCCTGAGCGGTCTACTTTACAGTTTCCTGTAGCCATTAACATGGCGAAACATGAACAGTAAAGCGTTACTTTCAGATGGCTTAACTCACCCTTGACCTTTTTCATGTATTGACTCAGATATATAAGATATATATATAGTCTAGTTTCTTTCTTTCCTTATGTTTTAAAACCAGCTGCAAGTAGTGCAGCACTTTGTTGCTGAGACACTTTCAGGAAGGGTGCCTCCCCACTTCCTGGCATTCACTCAGGCCAATGCTCTCCTCCCACTTAAATCAACTTGCAGACATGAGTCGATTTAAAGTTATAATTTGTTAATGCGGCTGATACTGGGATTAGTAGACTCCAGTAAACCCATTTTACCTTAACCTGTCCTGCAAGGTGGCCAGCCCCTATGTGGGCACACGTATTCATCCACTCAGAGGCCCTCACTGTGGCCCCTGGCACAATGAGCCAGGCTTTTACTATAAAAGGAGAGACAAGGCTATTGAGACGTTATTTTGAAAGTTATGTGTGTACACAACCACATCCTGCCCTGAGTGGAAGATGAAATGAGCAACGAATGCACTGCAAAGTACACCCACTGCTGTGAAAATGGGCCACTGCTCATTAAAGATATTATGGTGCACTAGAAGAGGTAATGTGTTTAAAATACTTTAAACACTGCTTTCTAGATTCAAGATTATGTATCAATCAATTTTTAAAACTTGCAAAGCTTTAATCTAAAATAAGACATTTTCTCTTCCATTGTGATGAGCTCTTTATAAAAACATTAGAACCTGATCAATTGTGTATTACTCTAGGAAGATCTGTGTAACAGTGCAAAGAAAGAGCTGTGACTTCCCCCTACAAGGATAGATTTAACCTTGAGAAATCTTTTTGACTGGGTGTGTCCAGCTCTGACTGGGGAATCCTTCATGAGCCCCTGAAACAAGTGATTACAAAGTTACATTATTTGATTACTACAACGATACATAACATGATTTGCTGTATGAATAGTGGAAAGGAAACACATTAAAACATGTGACCATGTGTTTGGGTGCCACATGAAAAAAAAAAAACTTTATACAGGGCCACTCTCTGATATTATTTGTATTTCCCACATTTGATACTTTTTTGCTTTTAGTTGGCATTTCATGGTTTTGGCCTTTACATGACCCAACACAAAACCTCCTGTAATTCATAAATCCAGGTGATACTCCTGGAACATCTGCTGCCCACAGATTATACAATGACACGCTGTCACTAAGTGAGTTTGAACCCAGCACAAACAGAGAGACAGACCTTGGGGGATTCAGGCTGTCTGCAAGATCACACGGACACTTTTGCCCTTCCACATGACGGGTGTGACAGGCTAAACGCAGGCTTCGGCCTCTGCTGGACGCCTCCCATTCTACTTTCATTAATAATGCAGCAGTAGACACAGTTGTGCCATGCTGTGAGGGTGGCTTGATGGGGAAGCACCAGACATCTCAAGAGGGTTAATGTGTGGCTCACCATTATTTATTAATAGGCTTGCCTGCTCAGAGACATTACAGTAGCCTATTAAATCTGTCACAAATCTGTCTCAAATAAAGCTTGTATCTGCGGCAGAGCTGACGATATAGCTAAACAGACACAACATTGAGCTTAGAACTAGAGATTTCATTTCTGAAGGAATTGCGGTGTGAATGCTGATTTAAAAAGTTGAATAACACCAATAAAAGATGTGGTATATTTTAAGGTTTGTTAAAAAGCTGACGCTAAACTGAATTTCTTGTATAAATGTCATAATGTATAAAATATGTGGAACATTATAAGGTTTGAATGGATTTGTGAATGAGTAGATACAAGTTGAAAAGAATATGAATAGTTGGAAAAGTGAGAAAGGGATGCAGGTATATCAAATATAGTGTAAGCTGGGAGCTAAACTGCATTGCTGGCTTAACTTTGTATGAAGAAGCTGATGCAGTATGAACAGTTGGAAAAGTTCTCATTATGTTTGAAAGATGTGGAACGTGATAAGGTTTGAATTGAGTTTCTGGCTATGAATAAGTAGATATGGCCTAAAAAATGCATGTAAAAGCAAAAATGTTCCACCCATTATTTTAGACATGGAAAATTGATGTTTGAATTAAATTCCTATGTTGACAAATGTGAGCGGAGTTATGTCTCAAAGAACGCAATGGAAATACAGTGTTTGATGCACAGAAGAACATACTTGTGAATTCAT